CTCCCGTGTAGGTCTACATACGTACTGTCACGTGTGTCTCCATGCAAACGTCATGTACTTCGTGTTGCCATGCAAACGTGGTGTCACGCGTGACAACAAACGCATGTTTATCCATAGGATGATGGCGTTGTCATTCGTTCATCCACGCCGAGGAGTTGGCACTCGTGTATGTTTACGTGTCTGTTACCATTTGTGTCTCCATGCAAACGTCATGTACTACGTGTTTCCATGCAAACGTGGTGCCATGCGTGTCTACAAACAGACGTTTATCCATAAGATTATTAGTTATACCGAGGAGTTGGCACTCGTGTATGTTTGCATGTGTACTGTCACACGTGTCTTCAAACAGACGTGGTGTACTTCGTGTCTTCAAACACACATGGTGTACTACGTGTCTCCATGCAAACGTGATGTACTACGTCTCTCCGTGTAAACGTGGTGCAACGCGTGTCTTAGAACAGACGTTTATCCATAGGATGATGACGTTGTCACTCGCTCATCCATGCCGAGGAGTTGACACTCGTGTATGTTTACATGCGAACTGTCACGTGTGTCTCCATGCAGACGTGATGTACTTCGTGTCTCCATGCAGACGTGGTGTCACGCGTGTCTCCATGCAAAACGTTGTGCCACGCGTGACTACAAACAGACGTTACTAGAAGTTTAGATCAATACACATGCGTGACGTTTGCAAACGTGATGTACTTCGTGTCTCCATGCAAACGTAGTGTCACGCGTGTCTCCATGCAAACGTGGTGTCGTGCGTGTCTTCAAACAGACGTTTATTAATATTATTATTTATAACATTTATATTTATAAGGATAGAGATCGAGAGATCAATAGACATACGTGGTGTTTGATTCGTGTCTCCATGCAAACGTGATACCACTCGTGTACACAACCATACATACAACCATACAAACATACATAGAGGCGTGGTGTCACTCGTAGGCGTGTACCTCCAAGAGGACTGGGGAGGGTGTTGATTCTTTTGGATTGTTGTTTGTACTGGCAAAGCAAAGGATGAAAGTTGTTTTTTGGGGAGAGATGGGTGGTCCTGAAAAGGGCCGTTGGAAACAAACTGGAAACAAGCTGGACGAGGCTTGTCTCTGTTTTACATTACTTTCCCTGATCTCGATACTAGATAATAATACGGACCACCCCAACAGTCGGGGACGTCAACTCCGCGTTGTATAGCTTGTTGTAAAGCTGCAATAGCCTCAGACTTGTTCTTAAATCAGTGTGGGCTCTGCGATAGGATCGTCTCCGATTCACAAGGTGGGTAGGTCACTATTGTCCACGAATAGACTTTACTCATCAACGGACATTGTTGACTGTTGGTCTGACACTTCAGACAGCTGCATCCAGAAGACATGGTTGATCTCTCATTCAGTGCTTGGACTGTGACGGTGTGCGTGGCTTCGCTCTTTTTTTAATTTTTATAGGAGAGGCACTGAAACCCTGCTTCCTGATTGGTCGAAAACGCAGCACGCCGATGGTTCCGTTCCGGCGCCTGGTCTGACATTCGGTTTTTCCAAACCGGACACAGACCCTTGTGATGGGTGTACAGGCAGTCTTATATGGGTGTACAGGCAGCCTTACATGAGTGTACAGGCAGCCTTACATGAGTGTACAGTCAGCCTGACAGGGATGTAAGTCACTCTTATATGGGTGTACAGTCAGCCTTACAGGGTTGTACAGTCAGTCTTATATAGGTGTACATGGTTCACGTGGCATCTATACCAGTGATGTATGTTAAACGGAATCTGGTGGTGGTCCCTGTGGCATCTGCTAATGATGTACGTTACTAACAGACTCTGGTGGTGGTGCCTGTGACATCTACTAATGATGTAGGTTGCTGACAGACTCTGGTGGTGGTGCCTGTGGCATCTACTACTGATGTACGTTACTAACAGACTCTGGTGGTGGTTCATGTGACATCTACTAATGGTGTATGTTACTAGCAGACTCTGATGGTGGTCCATCAGGCATCTACTACTGCAAGTTTTACAGGTCACGTTAGCTTCGTTAGTTCAACGTTGATTCGAGATCAAGGTTGTGACCAGGAATAAGCTGTATTTCAACGTTCAAGAGTTCATGCTGTGATGCAAATATCTTTATCATCAAATGAGTTCTTATAGCAGACTGAGGGTCACCACGTATAAAATCTCCTATCTATTAACATCAAGTCAGCATAAAACATATGCACTACAGCTGGGAAAATATGATGGACGTTTGTTTTGACAAATCCGAGCAAACATCAAGAAATCATACTTTTGCTCTGTTCTGCAATTTGCATGAATGCTTTTTTAAGCTTCTGTTTATTTACTTTATTTCATTCCCGTGATCGGTAGACCTTTTAACTACATCGATAACGCTCAAGTTACCCTGGGTACCTGACCTCAAAATAGGCTGGGAGAGTTTGGCTATCAAGTGACAGATAGGCAGATGTGTTAGACCTACCGAACCTTGATTTTCAACGGGAATGCAAGGAAAGTTTGCTTGATCTACTCGGCCATGACATTGTACAGGAGGACAAGCAGGGGTGTTTGGGTCTGCTATAATTGGATTCCCCGCCAGGAAACAACCGAGGGTCCTTTATCTTCCAGACGGTTCATGGAAAACAAGCAACGCATGACTAGATGTACTGGGCCCGGATTCTTCATGGGAGGACAAGAAAGAGTCTCATACTTCAACCAGACATGGATTCTCCACAGTGAGAGAAGGGAGGTATGAGTTCATGTAGTGCACCAGTAGTGTCAGTGGGAAGATTTTCCAGAGGCAAACACAAGGTACGAGTAATAAGATAATGAGCACTGCATATTTTATTGTATCATCATAGTTGAGTGACGCAACATGCACCAGGTTGTGAACATCAATAGTGCGATAGTCTTACAGGTTCAATATGAACAAAACCTACAGTAGTTACAATTCGGACATTTTGTTGTTGTCATCATCGCTCACATATCTGGTAGGACCAGCACTGAGTTTGGAGACGTGGAGACGGAAACCCGGACCTGAGGTACTATGAAACATGTTATTCCGTTTGTCTGCTCATCATCCTCAACATTGCCATGTGCACTGAGCCAGCGATTTATCCTAAAATTATCTCTGTGTGTCTCGCCTGTGTTCACCTCTTGAGTGTCCACTGCTACCTGAAACTCAACAGAAATAATGAAATTCACAACTAATAACATGGATGATCCAGCAGGGCAATCATACCCTCGGTCACAGACGTCGATGGTGTGCGACAATATTTCCATTGTTTAATTGTGGATATTAATCCTTGCATCCATACTCTTAGGCATGGCATCACAGTTTCCTTTGTAAAAGCAAGATATAATGTTTCTGACAAATGATAATTGATAACAACCAGTTACTGCCCTTCTGCCCCGGATAGTGGAAATGGATAATAACACTGCATCACCGCCACAATGATTCATAGCCAATCAATCAGGCACTGTCGCATAATTAAACCATTACTGGATATGGATAAAACAGTTCACGGTGAGCATTGAATTACTTTTTTAGCGTACGTAAACTTTGTGTTTCCAAACGATTGTTCCCAAAGCTGTTGTGATGGTTGCAGAAAATATTATCTGCTCTCATCTGTGTATGGTTACATCTAAAATCAGTCACACACTGAGGCAGTACTTACTCCTATAATGACAAGCATAGAAACTCACGTATTCAATGAACCAATCATCTTTGTGGCAGGGATCAGAAAAGGCAAAACCAATTTCTTCCAAACGGCAAACAGAATTGGCAGTCAACTGAAAGGAATCGTTTCTACAAATAAATACCAGTTTATGTTTCTTTAAGTAATTAGAATAGTGTGGAAATACAATGCACTTTCCTGTTATGTATTCAACTACTAATCAAGATCAAGATCCATTTGTGGTTATGGCTTATTAATACAGAATGTTTCTCATTCTCAGCAGGGACATGTCTGGAAAGTGTGCTGTTGGTGATGCTGTGCTAGAATGTATCGTTCTTCAAACCTACAGTGCATTTGATGTTCAGACACTCTTCAGACCTCCTGGTTTACCCATTTTGAATAATCCAACATAAACAGTCATAAAGGATGTTCGTGTGGTCGGGCTTTGTTTCTGCAATCAATTGATTTTGCTGAATTATCATTCAATTTTCAATTTAGTAACTCGTTAACACCATGATGTTTTTTGTTGTTTTACATTCTGTTTGTGTTTTGACAGTTTCTTTTGACGGACAATGTGGATATGATGACAGGATATGATTAGGGTGCGGTGTAGACTTGGTAGACAGGGTTGCTTATATTAAAAATTTTAAAAACAGGCAATTGTACCAGACTATGTTTTTTATTTAAATTTGAAACTTCAGTTGTGAACAGTTAGGTTATCTTTTGTGTGTTTCGGCTGCTTCCACTATATTCCAGTTTGTAACGGTTATGTAACAATGTCTGTGCTTTCGGTGACCTCCAACTAAATTAGAGTCTGGAAGTTTTTTATTACTTTGTGTGTGCCTAGGCGAGTCTCAGCTACAATCAAAGCCGGAACAATTTGCTAAGCTTGTGTGTGCTTCAGCATCCCTTAACTACATTCCATTCGTGAACTGTTAGGTTACCTTGTGTGTTTCAGCATCCCTTAACTACATTCCATTTGGGAACAGTTAGGTTACCTTGTGTGTACTTCAGCATCGCTTAACTACATTCCATTCAGAGCCAGTTCGCTAAGCTCGTGTGTGCTTCAGCATCCCTTACCTACATTCCAGTCGGGAACAGTTAGGTTACCTTGTGTGCTTCAGCATCACTTAAATACATTCCATGCGGGAACGGTTAGGTTACCTTGTGTGTGTGCTTTAGCATCACTTAAATACATTCCATGCGGGAACGGTTAGGTTACCTTGTGTGTGTGCTTCAGCATCACTTAAATACATTCCATGCGGGAACGGTTAGGTTACCTTGTGTGTGCTTTAGCATCCCCTAACTACATCCCATTCGGGAACAGCTAGGTTACCTTGTGTGTGCTTCAGCATCCCTTAACTACATTCCAGTCGGGAACAGTTAGGTTACCTTGTAGTTGCTTCCGCGTCCTTTTCTTAGAATGATGTCTTTCCCGTTTGTCAGGGGTTTGTTACCTTCTCCACACCTCCCTTTGAGGCTCAGAACCACGTCAGCTTTGGAACCAGCATTTCGTTTCCGTCCTGTCCTTAAGTAGAAGTCGTATGTTGCTTTTTGCTCTGTGTTTTAGAAAATACATTGGGATTAACCACCACCACCTCAGTTTTATCGATCAGTATTTGAATATTCCGGATAAATATGTGTTTCTCAGGCATCGATGCCTCACTTTTTTCAATTTATCAATTTATATAGTTGATCAGATTTTGCATGCTTAACAACTGTCATTGTGCCCAGCTGTGTCGGTATTGGCGGTCGGTCGATTCCTCCCATATCACTTTTGAGAACAATGAGCCTGTGAAGACTGATATACATTGTTTTGTTATTTTAAAAAGCACAGCCAAGTGATTTCAGGGAATATTGTTTCATGAATGGAAAATACTCATAAGCTTTAATGATACTTGACTGGTATGTTGTGGTATGCTTCGGGATCTTAAAATATATTTTGATGTTTTTTACGCATCAATACAACGATGCACAACAAACACAGTCGCATTTCAGAGGGCATGAGAGGGCGTGTGGCGTTCAACCCCTTCAGTGTGTTCTATTTATGAGGAACATTTGAAAGGAGCAAATGTTTGCATGTCTGTTTTTTTTCCAAAATAGATAAGATTTGTTGATGAGTGAGTGAGCGAGTTGGGTTTAGTTACGCTTTTAGCAGTATTGCAGTTATATTGCGGCGTATCAGCTAATGTGGGAGGAAATCCCGAAGTGAGGCAGGTCTCAGACGTTTACTACTTGGGTGAAATCCCTGAGCACGTGTCTGGTGCTGACAATGCTTGAAACATAATCAGGGCAATGTTTGCATGTCTGTATATGTTTTCTTTCTAGTTTTGACTCTTATCTCGTAGTTTGTTCTTGTTTCTGTGCGTTTGAAATTGACGTCATATCTAATCCGGGCAGTATATAAATCTTGCTCACACATCAGGCTAAATTAATCTACATCATTACATACCTTTTTCAGACTGACTTGGTAAATCCATAGTGTAGCACTGATTGAATGATATATGTGCTGGTGAAATCTTTTATTTGAAAACAACCGATTATATGTATTGTAGAATGAAGCAAAAGACTGAATTTGGGCTCAGAAGCCACAGTCGCAAATGATAATAAATTGATATCTATACAGACAGTCGTTGTTGATAAAGTCCGAATCATGTACCCAAAAAAGGACTGACGTTTACAGGTAAATAATACAGAGGCCTGTATGAATTTGAAGAAATGCATCAACCAAGTCAACGAGCCTGTCGCTAACAAAAAACGCAGTCGCCATTCATGGCAAGCTTGAGTTGCTGAAAACCTAGTGTAACTCGGATCTTCACGGGTCACTCTTAATGTAAATGCCCACGCATGTGGATGGTGTTGATGCTTAACACCTGCGACAACTTTTGAGACCCACCGATCCGGTACCCAAAAGCAATGAGCCTTAGTTCTTCATATTCACGAGGGGATCTGTGCACTTCCAGCCACAACCACATCTCATCACTGTTCGTACACTGACTGACTGAAACACTGGTACTTACGTTGAACCTCACATCTCTTTATGCACTTGTGAGTGTGCACTAGGCCATCAGGGGTTCTACCTGCTGTCCCATCGTTCTCTCCATCATCACAACCTTCTGAAAGATATTGACACTAACATTGACATCATATCTGCCAAATAACACATGCTTGTTGTAAGAAGTGAATTTCTCCCACAGAAAGGGTTTAATAGTAATGGCGACTTTTAGTTGTCGTATATGGTGTAATATTAGGTTAGCAAACAACGATTGGTTATTGATTATGCCGAAATGTTTTCATTATCCAATATCTGTACCGCACATGCCATGTGAAAATGAAAACCTACAACCTCAAGGGTCAAAGGGAGGCTACCGTAGCCTTGTGGTTAAAGCATTAAATCGTCATGCTGAAGACGTGCGTTCGTTTCCCGACATGGGTACAATGTGTGAAGCCCATTTTTGGTGTCCCCCGCCGTAATTGCTGGAATATTGCTAAAAGTGGCCTAAATCCATACTCACCATTCACTCACTACATTTCAAATCTAAGAGGCCAAATGTTGGATATTATAACTATACTCCTTATCAATAAAGTCGTTGTTTTCACATTAATGTACTTGCACATCATAAGTAATGGTATAAAGATACAAAACAGTGTTAGATAATGAATATCTGTGCCAACATTGTCATGTGAAATAAACTAACAAGCCCCCAAAAGTAGAGGTTTTTATTTTTCATTTTTTTAAAAGCAAGTTAATATTTAATGGACAGTAGGTTGTATCACTAGAACCATGAGCCAGTTACTAGAACAATGGATAATAAAATTAAAATAAAAAAAACATCGCTCAAACACAAAGCCCGTCATCGCACAGCTGACGTCATGACAAATGTATAAACCATGTTTTCAGCTAGTAGCATAAAAGGAACGTGCTGTAATGGGGTATAAATTGGCTTAATGGAAACTTTAGTATCACACCTAAGAAAACCACACATATGGCCAGATTGACTTTGGTGAAGATAGAGAGAGGGATATTGATATGGATCAAATGGGTGCTATGCAAACTAATATGTTCCGAACGAATATGTGTTCGTACTGACGGTCGCGAAATTGTTAAGTGAAGATCTGCAGTAATCCGAGCATATCGTTGCTTCCGAGGCATGACTTTCACTCAACGTTACATTATCGACGTGCCAGACTTCACTGGACAAGACAAGTCCGTCGATGGCAAGTTCAAAACTGGCAAAGATTTATGTTCACTGACGAAAAGCCGTTTTTGTTTATTTCGTAATGACAGCAGACAAAACGTTGGGCACTAGGATGCGTTCGAGAAGTGCATACGTCCAGTACGAGTTTGTTCTGTTTCTCCTACCGTTGTGCAGCCCTCTGAGAAAAAAGGGCTTTCGGCGAGTTGGACGATGCCAAAACATAAACGAGTTGCCTGTACAATCAACACTAATACGAGTTCAAGGGGCTATTTGATCTGGATTCCTTAATTCTGATGGCTATATCAAACTTCAATCTATACGAATTTCACCATTCCAACTTGTAACATATATATCGACTTCATCAATCTATTTTTTTTATCATGCCGGTGATTTTACAGCACCAAATGAGATCATCTTCCTCTCGTACTGACATTACGTACGTTTCATATGCGTAAGCCAGTCAATAATAACAAGTCAGGCAAGTCCTTTGAAACGACAATCTTGAAGAGGAGCTATTTGATAAATCTGTCAATGTGGTATGAACCGATGTTGAAAAGCACTGATTATATTGTAGAAGTTGTTTGTGTTACCTCTACTGATATGACAAGAAAACAAATACTCTAAGTTTGACTTTTTATTAATAAGTGGTTTGACAGTGAATGTGGGGAGTTAAAATCCGGAAAATGTAGAATTTGAAACAGATTAAGAAAATATAAAGATATTCATTCTCTAGAACATTATATATATATAAGGAATTACTATAACGCTACCTGAATTCTTAAGCATTCAGAAAATGTATTGATCTAGTAGTTAGTATACTTTTCCTGCCTCATGGTCCAATACAAAAACAAGTTGATATAAAACAATGACAGGGGTACTACTCTCCTTTGTATAATCAGCAAAATATTTACTTCCATCATAAATAACATATTAGTTTCCTTGGCTGATGCAGTCTTTAGAGAAGGTAACACAACCATTCACATCATCTTTATGCAACAAACTATTTTCCAAAGATATTTAAAAACAAAAGTTTGAAAATGGTATGCACTTTCTTGGACTTTACTTAAGAATTTGTTCTCTTCAGCGAAAGAAGTTATGGGGTCTCCTTTATTCTCACTGTGTTAGATGTCAAATGTGTAAACGTTTATGTAATAAACATGACTATAGAAAGGCAAGTGTCTCAAATGACCATGAAAAGTCAGAAATTTAAATATCCACCATGGGAGTGAGTCAATGTTGTATTTTAGGTCCCTTTCTTTTCTCTTTTTTTTCTAAAACGAATTAGCCACAGAAATGCGACACAACGGTACAAACAGGTTTTAGTAAAAACACATGTTTTTGTTTTAGCAGGGTTCTGAGGTACAGCACATGAAATGTTTTCTTTTATCAAAACTGGACAAAACAGCTTTATTAAAAGACAAGACAAAACATACCAGCCATATAACGCAAATACCGTTGAAGATGAGTATCTCTTTTCTTTGTATGTTCAGTGTATTTTATGCTAAGAGAAACTTATCTTAAAGACCATTCCTATGTCCACCCAACGTCATTTAGTTTCTGTTGCTCCAATTGTCTATGTTATTCTATTATGCAGTGATATAGAGAAACAATCTTATTTCATAACAAAACTCTACTACCAATCAGAATGTATAATGTTATGTACTGCAGGCCTTTGGTGCGGAAATACAAGACCATATGCTTGTCATTTGTTATCAGTAATTAGGCCCGTATGGCGATCATGACAGTGAGTGAGTTAAAATTTGGCGTCGCATGGATAACCAAGATTATCTTATGCCACACCGTGGCGTGCGTCTTCCGTCAAGAATTAATTCAAACTACTTCTTCTTTTGAACCACAAATTGGAAATTAACGTAATTTGACTGAAAGCAGCCATAGATAGATATCAACCATATTTAGTTTGAAGCATCCCTAGGTGGTGGGGATTCAAAATTGGACAAATGGAGGGGCTGATCCCACCAGGGCTGAGGGGCGGGGCCAAAAAGAGTTCATAACTTGGACACAGTTAATATCCCCACTGTAGAACCATATGCACAATGAGAGGAATGAGAGGAATTCACATATGCTACCAGGACTGGCCCTTCAGTTCATCTGCCTCCTCGTGGTGAGTGCTTGGTAACGCTAATCGCTCTTCCCCCGTGTGGAACCGGGGCAGAATATTTCCACAGCCTCCCATTGCTGGTCGTATGAGGCGACTAAAATGGGCAACCTGTTTGCCGTGGGTTGCGTCCCGTGTCGGCGGAGGACGGGAGTCTGGTGGTTGAGGGCACTGGTTCCAGGATTAGCGTTCCTTTGCCCAATACACCACTTCGACCCTTACTTCGCCTAGACGGGTGGTAGGATGGGCCCGGTCCTATCAATCGGCTGGTCATGCCGAGCCCTGTGCGTTATTTTATGTAGCACACTCTTGACCTGATTTCACCTGTTAGAAATCATGATTAACACTGTTTTCAAAAACAACATTTGTGTATTTGTGTTTGTAGCAATATTTGCCCAGAGTCTTGAAGCCCAGAAGGCGGTGGCTCATGGGCCAATCTGGTGGAGCATTATTTCTAGTGTTTCTGCTTGAGTATACCCTCTTGGTATCCTTGGCGCCGCCTGTTGGAGGCCCACAGGCATTTGGCGTCGTCCTTGTTGATACTCCATGGTGGGTGGGGAGCCAGGAGGGTGAAACATATACTATACCACTATGGCTGCTCAAAATCCAAAAAAACAAAAACGTTATCACGCTGACGATACTGATGATGAGGAAGATGATATGATAACCAGATTGTGTTATTCTGAACGTGAAACCTGGCCTCGATTCATTGTTGCAGAGTCAAGTGAGAAAAAGTTGACTTCTTGTTCTCCATTTCTATTAGAAAAAGCAATTCAAGGTATTGCTGGAACTGTTAAGAATGTCACCAAAATTAGATCTGGTGCAGTTCTAATAGAATGTGTGAAGAGAGAGCAGGCAGCTAATCTACTGGAAGCCAAATTGTTTGCAAACATTCCAATCAAATGCTATCCACATAAATCTTTGAACTTCAGCAAAGGAATTATCCGTGACAGAGATAAGAGTCTGTCAGATCTCTCCACTGATGACATTGTAAGTCAACTACGGATGCAGGGTGTTGTTGAAGCTAAGCGTTTCAACTTTAAGAAGGATGGAGTTTATTTACCTTCTAACACTTACCTCCTTACGTTTGACGTTCCACAGTTGCCACAATCAATTAAAGTAGGATGTTTTTCTATGAGAATAGACCTGTATATCCCTAGTCCTCTGAGGTGCTTTAATTGCCAGAAATTTGGGCATGGGCAGAAATCTTGTACTTATGGTGCTGCTTGCTATCGTTGTGGAGACAAAGAACATGATAGCAGCTCCTGTACCTCTGAAATTAAATGTGTTCATTGCTCAGGTCCCCACATGTCTTCATCTAAAGAGTGTCCAGTTTGGCAGTTTGAAATGTCCATTCAACGCATCAAAACAGAAAAGAATATTAGTTTTTCAGAAGCCAGGAAGTTAGCCGGTTCATTAACACCAAACAACACTTCCATGAGAGGTAAATCATCCTACGCTGAGGCTATGAAAACATCAAAAAAATCAATTGATTGTCAAACTGACTTGACTTGGGTAAATACAGACACACCAGTGAGTGTTAGTGATCTCACCTCTTCATCTTCAACAAGTGAATCTTCCTCAGAACTAGCGTCTAAATCCACAGAAACACAAACTACTTCTTCTCCACTTGAGAAAAAGAAAAATGTGAATGTGGATTACTCTAAGAAACAAAATAAATCTGATCGCATACCGAAGGGACAAAGAGATCCTGTGTCCATATTCAACAGGTTTGGTATTCTAGATGACATGGACGTGTCACCCCATCAGAGCACCCGCTCCAGGAGCCATTCTCCTAAGA